GAGAGGGAGGGTCAGACACGTATCTTAGGAAATGAGAATCCTGTGCCCTTGCCCAGTGAGGCCGCAGAGCAGCGAAGGGTGTGAGGTAAACGCCGGGTCCCCTGAGGTCTTTGGAGGAAAACCCCCAGTTTTACTAAATCTGTAAATGTAAAAATAGTGCATGCCAGCATTTCACTTGTTAATGTTCGCCTTTACTGAAAAGGCAGGTAGCAGGTTCTTGTTGGTTCAGGTGGCATACAGTACATGGCGTCTGCTACTACCTGGATGGGGCACTCTTCTGTAATAAGCCTGGCTGTTTTCCTTGTAGCCATAGCTTTTGTTCTGATGGGTGGTGAAAGAGGTCTTCGGCTTCCAGAGGGCTGATGGGCAGCAAGCACACCGGTCTCCTTCCGTGTGGCCTCCGAGTGAGGGAAGCTGGGGCCCTGCACACAGACGTCCCGTGCACGTCCAGGTGGGACTCGCTGTCCCTCCGGGTGGTGAGTGGTGTGAAGCTGAGGCAGTGTGCACCTGTTCTCTAGGTAGCAGAAGTTGGGGACTGCGAGGCACAGTGCAGTGGGCCCCGCCTGAGGAGCCCCCGGTGCGTGGCGTGAGGCCCACTTGCAGCCATTCTCCCGCACGCTCCTGTGAGTCGGCGCTCGCTGCATAGTTGAGGTCATGCTTGCAGCTGCAGCAGAGCTTGTGCCTGTCCATTCCAGACGCTGCAGCGCTCCGACTGCATGTGCTGAACAGTGACGTACGGACCCCTCAGCAGTCGCTGCTCCCTGCCCAGGTGGTGAGCGTGCGGCCTGCAGAGTGCAGAGCCGTGGCTCCAATTGTGCTGAACATCTTGGTGTTTTACTTGAAAAAGATCTGCGATGTTAGCTCACCATACGTACTGCAGCACTCCAAGTAAGGCATGACGGCCGCTGGCAGCCGCGGGCAGCCGGGGGCTCTGCGGCCAGGGCTGCGTCCTCCCCGCTGTTTGCTCTGGGTGACACAGTGATGGGTGCATGTTTCTTTGTAAATCAGGCCAGAGCTCTAGAATTGTTATTCTCTTTAGTGTGCTCTTCAGTATTTCCAGTGGAGGAATTCCACACGAAATGAAATGCTGAGATATTTAAAGGTAGTGCATTTCACTGTAAATACATTTTGGCAGTCTGAGGCACTGCGAGCCTAAATGGTGGCATTATGAGCAGAAACCTAGAATTTTGTTGAAGTTTAATAATTCTTTTCTCACTTGCTTACTGTCTTTTCTGTGCTGCCTAAGGAGGGGTTGTCTGCACAAGATGGGAAATTCTGTCTCTTCTAGAAGTGTAATTATCTTACAGTTAGGTCTGTGATTCATCTCCGAGTGATTTGTGGTCCTGGAGGCTGCTGGGGTGCTTTTGGTGGTCCAGAATGTGGGCACGCAGTGTGCGTTCTCCTTTTGTTGAGTGGGGTTGTCTCCGAGCGTTGGGGTTGGTTGGTAGGATTACCACGTTTCTTTGTCCATACTGACGGTTCGTGGCTCGTACTGGCTGATTATTGTCCAGGTATCTCCAGCATGTGTCAATTTATCACAGTTGATGCGCTGTGATCTGTGAGCAGTGTGATACCCAGCTTCACACGTGAGCCCGCGCGGTGTCAGGGTCTCTTCCCAAGGGCGTCCTCGGCCAGGTGGGCGATGCGCAGCCTCATGCCACACTTGGGGGTGCGTGTGCAGACCGCACTGCAGGCGGCGTGCTCCCCTTGGATTCTGGTGTTGGGCCTTTTCTCTCCTGCCTCTATTGAAAGCCTCACAGCACAGCCGTATTTTTGTTTTAAACACTTCTTTTGTTTCAAACACTTCCCTGTGTTTTAAAGAAGTTCAAATTGAAAGAAAGTGAGTGATATTTATTCACACTGTCAGCACTGTTGGGGATGCTCTCATATAAATGTGCTCCTTGCATTGTGATTCTCCTTCTAGCCCAAGAATTTCCTTTAATATTTTGGAATACAATTCCGCTGGTGATAGATTTTTCTGATTTTGTGTGTCAGAAATACATACATTTCACTTTAAAAATGTTCAGTTTTATTTTTAATAGATAAATAATTATTCTGCCTATGTGTGGGGTGTGCAGGGGTGTTTCCAGGTGTCTGCCCCTCAGGGAAGGAGCCCACCAGGCTTGTGCGCGGCAGTCCCCTGGGTGCCCGGCATCTTCCTGGTGAGCGGGCTCAGACCTCTCGCTTCCCCGCTGTCTGGCAGCGCGGTGGCTACTGTCAGCTGTGCCTGTTGGCAGTGCCCTCTGGTGCCTGCTGACCGCCACCGCTGCCTTGGGCTGCTCACGGCTGTCCCTCTTCGTGAGATCCTGTGGCGTTTGCTTCCCTGTTCTGGGTGTATGCACACCACATGCCGTCCTCTAGGTTCACCCAGTAGCCCACAGCAGTAGCACTGGTTTGTTGGAGGCTAAGCTGTATCTCATGGTGTAGGAATCTTTCTTTTCTTTTCTTTTTTTTGTTTTTGCATTTTTTAGTAAGGGTGTACAGAGTCTACAGGGCCTCACTATGTAGATCAGACTCATAGTGATCTGCCTGTATTCAGCCTCCCAAAGAGCTAGGATTACAGGCGTGCGCCTCTACCACACACAGTGCGCCCCGGGGGTGGATTGAACCCCAGCTGCTGCGTTTGCCTAAGTAACCACTTTAATCCACTGAACCGTTTGGCTGGCCTGGAGCCTGTCTTTCCATCTGCTCGTCCACAAGGCGTCAGGACCCGCAGTCGCTGGTGTACCATGGCCCTGGGAGTAGCCTGGGAGTCCAGGGTACAGATTGTCTGAGAGGAGCAGATTAGTTCCTTTGGGTGTGGGCTCCTAGCAGGATTGCTGGGTCATGCAGAACTCTAGTTTTAGTTTTTTGAGGAACCATTACACTGGCCTGATTGGTAGTGCACAGGCCTGTAAGCCCTGTAACCCCAGCATCGGGAGGCTGAGGCAGGAGGATCACCAAGAGTTTGAGGTTAGTCGGAGCTACATAGTAAATTCAGGACCAGCCTGAACTACACAGCAAAACCCTGTCTCAAAGAAAAAAAGAACAGAAATAGAAAAAGTCCCTTTCCCCACATCCTTGCTAGCAGTGATCTTTCACTTTTTTGAGGTAGACAAACTAATATTTCATTTTTTTATTTTGTTTTTTCTCATGACAGAAATGCTAAGCACTCTTTCCTGTGTCTGTTGGCCATATGTGTTTATTTTCTTCAGGATTATTTATTTGGGTCCTTTGCCTGTGGTTTTTGTTTTTATTTTGAGATAGGATCTCACTGTATAGTTCAGGCAGGTTTTGAACTCAAAGCAGTCCTCCTGCCTCAGCCTCCAGAGTGCTGGGATTACACTCATCCCTACCACGCCCTGGGTTTTTATTTTTTTATTTTTTTTT